GCGGGAATCTCGGGTCCACTGATGATTCGCTGCGGAACCTCGGGTCCACTGATGATCAGCGGTGGACCTGAGGTTCCCGCAGCGGAAAATGTTTCGCGCTGCGGAAACGCGAAAAAGTCGCTTTCTGTCCTAATGAACCACACCCGATAAGCGGGGCCACTCGCCAATACGTCACCTCGTCCTGCTGGGCCTTGGGAAGCAGAAGTTGTATGTAGCCTAGTCTCCGTTTCGCAAGTACCCTTAGACGGAGATTGGACGAAATGCTATAACCTTCCCTGTGCCCACCAGTAAGGGAAGGAAGGGAAGAAGAGTTCCGATAAAGAATTATTGAAAAACAAAATGTTTTGATTGTAATTTTTTTGTAATCCAATTTTTGAAAAAATCGCTTTCTTGATAGGTCGTTATCTCAGAGATTACTTATTCATAGCATCCTAGCTCATTTTGTTCCATCTTTTTCGCCTAGAGTAATGTGTAAGCTTCCCCTGAAGCTGTAGGAGAACCTTGAACCTGGGGTTTGATCCAAAAAAACCGAACGGGTAAATTTAGGAGCCCGAGAGAAGGAGAGCAAGGGAAATTAGTCCTACTTGGTAAAAAATATGCAATCCTAAGAAATATTGTAGGAGTAAGGCAAAAAGGTACTTTACGTCCGGTTCATTCGTGACTGTGCCAATCACAAGCGGCTGCATTGTTCTGCTAGTATGTTTTTAGGATGCCCTTCTGGTAGATTTTTTTGGGATCGCAGAAGGGGGTAACTTCCAAACCCATACCTTAAAAAATAACCTATATTAATCATGTTGGAGTGTAGATAAACTTCAGAGTAGTTTCGGAGGCTACTCTGCTTGCGATAAGCGCAGTGTTGCCGTCATGCTCGTGTTTCTGGCCGCTTTTCTTGCGTTAGCATCTGCTGACTGCCCTCTCGGCACTGTCTACCACCAGGAATTCAATCGGTAATGCTTACTTATTGCTTATCAGATGATTTGATGTACTTGATAGAAACACATTGAAAACCAAGATAGCTTGGAAGAAATTAGGCTTTTAATGATAGTTCTCTGCCTCTCCTTGCTGTCGCCTAATTTCAACCCCTTCTAAGAATTCGATTTCCCTCTGAAAAACTCGAAGTGCTCAGCGCAAAAAAAATTCCAAATACCTAATCTTCATCAATTCGAGACAAAGAGTCCCCTGAGGTCGCCCCGCTAGCGATAACTAGTCACCGCACGCGGCGGGCACCCATCCTGAAAAGGACGTGTCAATTTGCCAGGACTAAGCTAAAACAAGTGCGGAAATGGGGACCACACAGACGGAACAAAAAGGCGTTGTATCGATCGTCTAAAGAGGCTCATCCTAAACTTGCCAATTGCCATGCTTTAAACTGTAATACGACGTCGCGCGCGGTGACCTAGTTTTAGCGTGGCGGTTGAGGGGGACTCTTGACCGTCTCCCTCTCCATGCAGCAATTCCTGTAAACCCATTACACGAGTGGTCCATGCTCCGCTCCGCGGGTGATTATTGAAAACCCAGTTGTCTGGAAGAAATTATCAGACCGCCGCTATAGGGAATGAAGAAATGACTATTTTGAGGTGCTACAAATTTGTGAGCACGGCGCAGCCATTCTATCTCGCCGAGGAAGCCTGCATTTCAATCGGTGGACATGTGGTTTCTATATCCAGTGGCTATGAAAATGCCATGCTTTCAGGTAAGATTCAACATTATCTATTCTCGTCAATTCTGAATGCCGATTAAGTCCCTTTCCTTATTAAATACGGATACCTTTTTGAACACTTTTTTTTTGAACACTTATTCAATCTGCCTCACATCTCTCAACCGCGCTCCTACCACGACTCACGTAAAGCTCTCCAACATCCGCAATTTCGTATCAGGCATCGAGCTTCGTTCAGAAGCCATCGTGCGCAGAGACAGTAATGCAAGTGAACCTTCAAGATCCGGTTTACGGAACTTGAACTGCTTCCATTGGTCTGCCACGAATGGTCGGAACATACAGAGCAGTTAGTGAGAGCGGCGCCTGGCCTCGGCCCTCCAAATCCCGTGGAGGGAGGTGAGAGCCCTAGGACTAAGCCTTTTAAGAGGGAGGGACTTCGAGGTGGGTGAGCCAACTGCAGTGTGGCAAAAGTTTGAATGTGTGTGATCACAATGGTCATGAGCCGCTGATAAGGTGAGAGAGCGCAGACGAGAGATGGAATCTGAGGTGGCTTAAAAGGACCGGCTTCAGGTAGTCCGTCAACCCTTCGATCCGGGTGGGAGGGGCTCGTACGTCAGAATTTTCCTCGGCGCTTCATTTGACCCTGCTCTATATACTTCACGTCTCAATTTCCGGAAGTATGAACGTATCTACTCTTCAATCATCTCAAAGCCTTGTGTTGGCGTCATATGATCGGTCCGGGCGGTGGAATTACTCATCCCTTTGGGCTGTGTGCGCTGCCTTAAACAACTCCTTGCAAACTCTTCCATTCAATACAAAAATCCCCTATTTGGCACCAGCGTCGAGAACACCATAGAATGATATATTTTATGAATTACAAATTTCAAAACGAACTTGTCCTTGATCTTCACACCGCACAATTGTATACGGTAACCGCCTTGATCTACCGCCGTCGAAGCCTGCCGTCGAAAAAGGCGCATCCGCCGAAATCGAGGGACTGGCAAAAAGCGAGGCACTGCGCACTTTGCGGAGGGAACAGACGGCTAAACGAGGGGTCGGCGACGACGACCATTGATTGATGATTGGAATGATCTACCACGTATGCATCATGATATCAAAAGCAAAGATCGAAATCGATCGAAATTTTGGATTAAAGTTTACTCTACAAAGAGTACATCATCGCATAGAGTTTTCAGCGCTGATTTTGAATATCAGGACCGTTTTCGATAGAAAGTTCAAAATTGGGAGCTGACTTTGATTCCATCCAGTAACTTCAAGACCAGACGGCTACTACATAACCTATCATCATCCTGACAATGCTGAAACATTATTATTGTATTGACATATTCGCATGAAAACGCATTCAGAAAGTGCACAAGCGCAGAAAATCGCAACATTCTACACGGGGCTCAACACCTTGAGCTCAAACTCATGGGGATGGTCTGATGGCTCGTCGGCCAACTACACCAATTGGGCCACAGGTGAGCTTACCTCCTGTCTGCATTTCAGAAACACAAGAACAGGTTTGATTCTTTGGTTCAGGTGAGCCAGTCGATGGAAACACGTGTGCTGTACAAAACAGCAAGGATAGTACATGGAAATCGGTCTCCTGCAACAGCGCATACGCCTACGTTTGTGCTGTGACAGCCAGCTTCCCAGCACCAACATGCCCTCCGTGTCCAACACCCAGCCGGATGTCCGACATTTCCACGTGAGTTCGGTTGCCATTGCTTTTTTGTCCGCATTTTGTAAAAATGCTTTGTCAGCGTTCTCTACCGAAAGCATAGGTATCGATTTAATGTACCTGCAAAGCCAATGCCTAATTCACAGCCGGCGACCCAGGCAAGTGCAAAACCTTGCGACATCGAGCGATTCGCGCGGTGCTCGCGAACTCTGACGCCTGCCTCCAGACCGGGAGAAGGAGACAGGGGTATCATAGAACCTGAAGGAAAACTAGCCGGGTGGCATAACGACAGCTATGGGATGAGCACTAGTAAACGTTGCCTCCGCCGAAGTTTCGTTCATACAAGGATCGGAGAATCGCATAGCCTCTGAACGGGTGCATCTGAATAAGGCGATGCAACAGCTCGTGTGAACTTAATCCCAATCATTGCTTAAAGAAACCCTTCAAAGTATGGACTGTTGAGCGACTCACTTCTTCATCATTTCTATGTTATGTTGTACGGGTTTGCCTTCTCCATACCCTTCCTCTTTTAGGCTTGATTCTCAAACTAAGACTTGATAAAGAGAACGCCTTCGTTGTGCTTAATGAATGCGATGGGCGCTCTTGCGGTTTTTAAGGACTACTAGCATTTTTCACTCAACGGTCCTTGCCGCGCATGGTATGCAGCACAGATGATTATGAAAACGGTGGGGGGGTGGACTGAGCCTTGGAAAGGAGACGGAAACCAGTGATAGAGCGCAGAGAGATTTGAAGGGCCTGAAAGTTCAGAGTTAGTCCGCTCGACCGCGCTTCTGCCTAACAATGCCCCCTCCCCCAGTATCAGCTATACCCTGAGAAACCCCTAACTTACTGTCATAACACATTCCAACCACTTCACCTGAGTGGCGACCACCCTCACCTGGTGTTTGCCGGGACCCCTTAGTCACTTAATCCATACTTGGCACAATCACATTCGCATTTTATGCACAATTTTTCGAATATTCAGTGAACCACAGAGATGAGCTACTTTCTACCACTACATATGCCAACTCATGTTTCGTTCCTAATCAATATTTTGGGAGAGTGGCATAATCTTCGATGAGCTTGTCGCCGCCACAGAGCGCTGTCGTGAACGTCATCAGCATTCTTTCCGGCGCAACCGGCCTTTCTCCATGGAACACCTGATTGATGTTTGTGTGGGAAACAGCACAACATTCAAAATAAGAAAATGTTGAAGTTGTGTCAAGAAATTCAAATAGTACCCACTTCAAACATTCAAGCACTTTTTTAAACAGCGCGTCATCCGATTTACTGTTATGGTAGTGATATAGGTGGTTGCGTTCAGCAGTGTATCCGCTGATAAGTGCGCCGATAAGCTCACCTTTCACATCTTGGACATTTTAGATGCGATGTCTTTTCCTAAGCCTCACCCATCTTTTGTAGCCGTCCGTTGAGACCATTGCGATTCCCGGAATAGAGGCCCTATTTGCCGACAAGACGCTCGTTGTACAGGGTGAGTTGTAATAGACTATCAGACTGAAAGCCGCTTACAAAGGCATTAATTCCATGAAGCGGACCTGTGGAACTCGATGCGCAAACGAGTTTGGAGACCAGTTGCCCGCCACATTCGCCACTTTCCCTACGATTGGCTTGCACTCCCGAAATTCGTCGTGCTCGTCTTACATTTTAGAGGGACGCCGCTCGCGCGGCGGCGACTGTCTCCCATTCCCTACTGACATAGCCTGTGATTCACGCGACTCAGACGCCGGATCGCTGACTCTGACACCAGCCTTAGCACCGAGACCTCGCGATTATTCTACTTTCTCCATGCCTGAACAACAAAACTACCGGCCATATGTTTTTATTCCGGAAGAATTACGCAATCTTTAGACGTGCGTGCTAAGATCACCCCTGAGATTCGACGAAAACGTATGTTTTAAAAATATGTAGGAAACATGAGAACAGAAAAAGAGAATCAGTACAAGAATAAAAGCTTGTCGAAGAAAATTCGCACAATAGCAATAGGCTTCCAGTAATCAGATTTGTTTAGTACTTCCTCTGGTCTACTTTCGACAATGCTGAGGACGTGTGCATGTCCAATGGAGGACATCTGACATCAATTCATAGTGACGAGGAGAACATCTTTGTTGCCGGTGAAGAGTTACGCATAATTATAGCTTTTAATTAGGGCTAGAAGGGAATCAAAAGCTATCAAGACTTAAATGAAAGAAAAACATTGTTGGAAATCTCACAATGAGGTTCTTTCAGATATTTCTAAGGCCGGAGTGGAATACAAAAAGGAGGACGATCTGACATGGATTGGTCTAAAGCAGCAGAACTATCCCACATCGCCGGACTGGACGTGGACCGACGGTACACCACTTGACTACATCGCTTGGGGCTCTGGTCAACCAGCCGACAAAAAAGGACGTGAACACTGTGCTCAGGTGATTACTTAATAATTAAGAGTTCCTGTAGGTATTTCATTTTCGACACTGGTGTAATAGGGGGGGGGGCGTCAATCCCGGCAACTGTAATCCAATTCTTTCGCGGGAGAAGGAAGCTCATGGGGTTGAACTGCTTTGCGTGCACGAAGTTGCTTTGCTTGTATCAAAATAGTAAGAATATTTGTCCTGGGTTTGAAAGCCTTGGATGCTTTGCGCCGCGACACCTTCCCCCCCCCCCCACGCAGCTGCAGTCTGTGCGTCTCATTTTGCGTTAGGCCGATGTCGACTGTGCGAAGGCGCAGCGATACCGGACTAGGCGTCCCGGTCGCATGTGCGTACAGCCAATTGAGGGTTACCTGGCGACCGACCGCGACGAACAAGAACAGAATAGGACCGCAAAACCCTTAATTGGACCGTCATGTCACGTCACCGTCTTGACATTAAACCTTCAAGCTAAATGATTGTTAAAGTTAGTATGTATCATGATTTTTGTGGATATCTAGGACGCTTCAAAAAAATTTACTCTTGAATGATTGCAGACACACAGTGACTATCTTGGACGAAACCCTGGCCAAGGACAACAACTACCAACATTGGGACAGTTGTGAATGCACACTGACCATGAGAGCTTATGTGTGCAAGAAACCCGCATCCCACTGATTCTGTTGTGTTGTGCAGAATAAAGCCGTTCTCTTTATTTTTATACACAATAACAACACAATGATCACTGAAACTGCTGATGCTCTGCTTCCCACCACCGAACTAGTCGCAGAATCGCAGACGGAAGCAGCCATTTTGGACGTCATGATTGGCATCCGGAGAAGATGCGATGTTCCGCCAACTGGAAAGTGACATTAGCTAGAAAAGGACACCTTGGAACTTTTTCCGATGAGATATTGCCAATGTTATTAGAGTCGGGCTTGCTTTCGGTGAAACGAAGCATTTATAAACGTTGCTGACTACTATGTAGGCTGTGGAGCAACTCTTCTGTGATAGACTCCTGCCTCCTTCTACATACAACTGTGAGACGAATGTTTCTCAGTAGCAGAGCTTTGCACAAAGCACATCTAAAGGCCACAGAAGATCTCAGAAATGAACACTGCTAAACCTCGATTCAGAAAAACTGCTTGGTAACCCTTTTTATCACTATCACCTTTCCTCCGGTGATGGTTCCTGAAACTTCTCGGGCAGCAGTCTCATCACAAAAACTTGATTTCTATGCCCAGATTTGTTCGGTAGTACTTGCAGAATACAAAGACAACGAATTTTGCGGCCTTCTTCACATTTCGAGCAGTACGGCCGCTGCGCATAACCGGAATGCTGAAATGATAAAATCTTCTACTCATAATCTCTGTATGCCGAGGCGATAAAATTGCGACAAAAGTTCGTAACAGGACACCGTGGCCACGGTTCACCACCGAGTGAAATGGAGCACATAAAAAATTTGCTCACGAAAGGATGGCACTTTGTTGTTCAGATGCGTACTGAAAATCGGCAGAAGAGTATGGAAAATTGAAAAAAGTCAGCTATGCTTTTATAACGCCCCAGCTCCTCCAACTTAACAAACATGGAAAAGGCTTTAATACAATCTTCAAGAATAAATCTAATGTGAGCGAAAAGACATTGGAATAATTCCAGGTATTAATCCATCTTTGAACTCCAAGTTTCATTCATTCCTTACCTAATCATCACCGAAGTGCCTCCTATCTGGCGGCGGTAAATGCTTTCACAAGTGGTATAATCATTCGGACGGAAACCGCTACCGCGCTGAAATTATCACCCTTTAGGCGACAATCGGACAAAAACGGGTGCTGATAAGGAAGCTACTGCTTCCACGATGATGCTGCTTCTGCTCGGACTTTTACCATTGATTTCAGCGTTCACCTGTCACCAAATACCATCTATATCATGCTGAATTTAACAGGTACCGGTTCAACTTATGACACTATTGAAATGAAAACCAATTCAAAAACAATTACGCAGATGCTACAAGTTTTCCCCTGATGCCCTGCCTTCTATATATGGCAGAGGAAGCTTGCCAAAGCCTCGGTGGACATCTCGTTTCTTTCAAGAAGGTTTGGGCGAAAAACGCAGATGGGGCAGTGGGAAATTTCACCCTTTTGAAGAGGAAGCGCTAATGTACCCTGTTGGTACGGCGCATGCTTTACGAGGAGCAGCCAAAACATAGAAAAAAACTTTGGTAAGTTGAACACACAATATCATTTAGTTATCCAGGGACACTGTGAACGTCCATATGTTTAGTTGGACAGCAAAGCTACAGAAAAATACCATAAACATCCGAAATAAAGTCACCAATAGAAACAAAAATCAAATAGCAGGGGTGGTATGAAGGGTTCACGCTTCCGGCTTCGGCAAAAAGTTTTTTTTCATGGCACACCCGCGGTACCGCGCCATTGGAGTCAAGGTGCTTAGATGGCTTAGAAAAGAATGATGAAAACCACTATAACAGTATGGCTTAAAAGCTTGTCAAAAAGAGATCAACTTGCTTGAGAGTTACTGAACACTCTTGCAGGAGACTGCCTCAACAACAGGCCGCATTGGTTCCCCTTTCTGGATGGTATTGCAACAAACTCAAGGTGACGCTGTGGAGTTACCACCGAGGTGGGCAGCAACGGCAGCTTCACAAACTGGCAGGACGGTCAGTGGATTAAACTAACGATCGTTCCTAGAATTCGTTATACTGTGGGGTTTTCTTACAATTCACACCACGCCTTCTTTGTATGTATACTTAAAAGTACAGCAGCGGTCAAAAGTGTTCGCAAAACAATTTTTAGTGGATATTTTTTCTCGCTTGGCGAACGCCCTCCAAAGATTGACATACTATGTTTTCTATGTTTGTATATCTCAAGCTTCACAGACGGTTGACCGACATCGGCGAGTTTGTAAGGCTTAACCAGGAGAAAATGTGGCTACGACTCCAAATAAGACTTTGATTACATATGGTGAATGATGTAACAAGCGGCACTGCGATGATCCACCATTATGAACACATCCCATAAATGGTTACCGTATCTTGAACTTGCAGCGAACCAGTCGTCATCTGCTCCGAATACATGCGCAGTGTCCACTCTTCCTGATGGCACCTGGCAATCTACAGCATGTTCTCAGTCTCGTGCATACGTGTGCGCCATCTCCACCATCGTTCCTGTTGTCACCTGCCCACCATGTCCTACTGTAGGATGTCCTGCTCCTCCAGGCAAGTTGAATTGTTCGAGTGTTCAATGGAAGCATGGAATACCGTCAGAATGACGAATCATTAGTTCTATCTTGGAATAGTTCCCTTCCCAAATTGATAATCAAGGAGCCCATCGGACTTCTGGAACGAGAACAATTACCGTGTTGTCTTTCAGGCCCACCAGCTCGCTGTCAGTCAGGTTGGACCTATTTTGCCAAGACCAATTCATGTTACAAGGTAGTCCCTAACTAATTTCACGCCTAAAAATGCAATAGTTAAATTTGCTTGGATTATAATCATCAACAATTAGATCTGATACCCTTTTCTGAGTGACGATTATCCAGTGAACCTTAAGGGCGTAACCAATACTAGTGATCACGAACCAACATCCAATTGGCTTTACCTCGGAGTCAGGGTGAATATTGCTTGAGGATTCCTCAACGGCACGTCGAGGATTTTCGCCTGATCCTTTACGTTCTCGCGCGCGGATATTCACTCTCGCCACCCGCGAGCCGTCTGTGCTCTCCGCGCGTACATTCACTCTCGGCACTACTCTCGCACAGCAGAGAGCGATGGTCGAGGAATTCCTCGACCGTTATTCACCCTGCTTGAGTTTAATAATTAAGCTTCTTAACGAATAAAATAATAAAAGTTGAAAGCAGCAAGTTACATGTACATCTTTCAGTATTTCCTGTGGGCAAGTTTCGAGAATGCAGAGAATATTTGCAAAGCGAATGGTGGTCACCTAGCTTCCATTCACAGTCTCGAGGAGAACAACTTCGTAGCGAGTAAGTTATTCAGGTTGCCCGTTCTACGACTTCGCGACTAGACGCTTGCGGGTAACCGTGTCTAGTTTGCACACTTTCAGCTCAATTTCTGCTGACACATCAGTAAATTACGTGCAATTTCGAGTCAACTCCCATAAAAGGCACTTTCTATGGCCTGGTATCACCTGTATCACCTGTCGTCCCGTTGATCATCGAATTGCTCGAGCGGGCGCCAGCAACGTCTCCATTCGTCCCTGTCGCGTGCAAGAGTGGTCCAGTGGATCCTCCTCGCTCGAGGGACACGAAGTCCTTCATTCCTTTCGTTCAGAGCTTTCGTAGAAGAGTGCCGCGCCGCCGCGTGCCCCCCCCCAACTAGGTTAGAAGTCTGACCATCGGCCGGCGGTCGTCCAGGTGTTCGTTTGACGTCCCGAGGGATCCAGTCGGTAACCGCTCTGGTCCAACGGTCATCGCAAAATCGCATGACGTGTCCGGCCCACCTTATCTTCGATTCCTTGGCGAAAACGGCAGCGTCCCTGATCTTCGATCGTTGGCGTAGTTCGGAACTCCGGATTCCCCTCTGCACTTGCGTGTATAGGGTTACTCCTAGCATCGTCCTCTCGACAGCGCGTTGGATAACGCTGACCGCATGCTCGTCCTGCCTGCGCAGAGTCCAAGTCTCTGAGGCGTAGGTTAGGGCAGGAAGGACAGCGGAATCGAAGAGGTGGGCACGGAGCCGGATGTTCTTCGTCTTCTTCACTACTCCCTCGATGTTCTTGTACGCTCCCCATGCCGCTCGTTTCCTCCTGCTCAGCTCTGGAGCTAAGTCGCTGGCCAAGGTGGCGCTTTAATATGGAAGTAGTAGCAAAATTAGTGAAAGTAAAGACTTGCTGGAAAGATAGTGACAGTAATATGAGGAAGAAGCACAGCGTGTTGGTGAGAGAGTACAGGTGAGGGGGCGGAGTGACGAACGAGACGCAGACAACCGGTGTGTCGATGTTGCAGCTTAGCAATAGAGTAGCCAAAAGGCAAGGTCTTAGCGCCCTTTTCGCGCAGCTCCTACTGCGCAACTTTTGCGCTTTAGACTTGTCTGTGCATCTCACAACATTGTTCGTCCGACATCTTTGTGGAGTGGGCCTTTAAATAGTGCCTAAGGACCTACGAAATGAAAGAGCTGGATTCCTTCAAAGTTCAGTAATAGCCAATTTTTTTAGCGATGGGGATGTCAGGCATCACATACACTAACGATGCTGATTTGACGTGGATTGGCTTGAAGCAAGCAACTTATCCGACTAGCAAAGACTTGGTCGTGGACAGATGGCAGCAAAGTCGACTTCCTGTTCTGGGGTCCTGGACAACCTGATGACGCAGGAGGATCTGAGCACTGCGTTGAGGTATACTAGAATGCAATACGTATTTTCAAAGAACCTGAGTGCTTATCGGAATCGATTCGGGTTAATCTGTGGCGCTTGTTTCAGGTCTTTAGTGACCATACTGGCAAAGACCCAGCCAAGGACGGGAACTACCAACGATGGAACGACATGCCCTGCGCCACAAATATGAGATCTTACGTTTGCAAAAAAGCGTCACTGAAATGAATATGGATGTGGACGGCCTTTTCTGTAGGATTAACAAACGTTTCCACTACAGAATAGAATAATCACAACTAGTTTGCATATGTTGCACTGATAAACCAAGTAAAACTATTCACCGAGGTGTTTCATGGCTAAATTAATACAGAACCATTTCTAATCCATGTCACACGTGCGCAAATTTGCCGCCGGTACTTCGTGGCGCGCGGCGATTTTCGGTACAAATGACACACACCACTGCGGGTGCTTACCTATGATAAACCAGCTATCCGTTAATCGTTTATCTGCAGGAAGTCCGAATGAAAATTGTGCCAATCCGTTCCTTGTTCTATATCAACACTTGGATTATGCTTCTCCCGTCTAACACAGATTTTCACCTCACCTGCTTTTTTGCGTTCGTTTTGTCGCTGGAAATTTCCAAATAGTCGAAAGAAAAGCGGGAGGCGGCTCTGTGGAGTGGTGCCAAGCAGCCACCATCACTTCAAATGTTTACTGTTCCGAACTTGCAACCTCTTTTACAAGCAGCAGTAATACTGCTTCCGACGCTGACCAAAGACCGGATCAAATTTATTACATATTAGGCATTCACACGCTACAGTTCAGGTTGACCTGTCCTCTCGTCTGACGGAATATATTCGGCGATAGAGCAGGCCATAATGCGGAAGTTCCCGATAATACGTTCTTATCGCCCGAAAGAAGCCACAAAGAACATCTGTATCTGCACAAACTTCAACAACCGGTGATCAAAGCAAACTGCAACAGAACTATCGCAAAAAAGGGGAATCGTCTGCTTGAGAAAAAAAAACTAGTGAAGAGCTATCGCGAAATTCTGATCCTTCATATCAACAGGAGTGCCCAAAAATTAGGTGCTAACTTAGTTGGGAGGGACCACGCGGCGGCGCGGCGCTTTGCTTGCCTGGCATCTTTGCGTACTTCGGGAAATCCGTGAGCAAGGGGG